GGCCCTCCACCCTCCCTGCACCCAGAACTGTGGGGGCATTGCCCCACCCCACCCCGAAATGCCTTGGCACCCTGTTGGGATCTCCCGGGTCCCTGTGGGCAGGAGGGTCCTGCCTGCCCCTGCCCACCCCCTCACCTCTGCCGGGCTCATCTTGTCACCCAGATCCATCTCCTCCTGCAAAAGAGGCGAGCGTGAGCGGCCTGGCAGGGCAGCAGGCAGCACGCCGGCACGCCGGCTGCAGGCAGGGCGCGGGCAAGGCACGGGCAGGGAGTGAGCAGGGTACAGGCAGGGCGCAGTGAGGCTGCAGGCAGCACAGCGGCAGCGATTGGGTAGGGGGCAGGCAGCACACGCAGGCAGGGTGCAGGCAGCACATGGGCAGGGCGCGGGCCAGGTAACGTGATCGGTTGAGAGGCCATCGGTCACACCGTGATTGGCCAAGGCGGACAAGCCAGGCGTGTGATTGGTGGAGAGAACGCAGGCTGTGCCATGATTGGCTGAGCAAAGTGGGGGAAATCCCATGGCCATGACTGGCCGAGAGGCTCCGGGTCACGCTACGATTCGCCAGGAAGGTTTGGGACGGGGAGGACGCACACCGTGATTGGCTGAGCAGAATCGGGACAATCGGAGATTGGCTGCACAGTCACAGGCCAAACATGATTGGCCAAGCAGAATCTCGCCAGACCCCTGATTGGTTCAGAGAATCCATGCTGGGCTCCGATTGGCTGAGAGGAGCCGTGCCCAGCCTGCGATTGGGCTGCAGCTTACCGTGATGGAAATGCGGACGTGTTTGGCCTTGCGATAGGCCGTGCCCTGGGCCTGGCACCAGGCGGGGAGAGACAGCGGCGTTAGGGCATGGCGTGGTGGTGCCATGGGCAGGGACGGGCAGGGACGGGCAGGGAAGGGAAGGTACAGGCAGGGACGGGAAGGGATGGGCAGGGACGGGAAGGGATGGGAAAGGATGGGAAGGGATGGGAAGGGACAGGCAGGGATGGGCAGGGAAGGGAAAGGAAGGGAAGGTACAGGCAGGGATGTGTATGGATGAGCAGGGAAGGGACAGGCAGGGATGAGAAGGGATGGGCAGGGATGAGAAGGTATGGGAAAGGATGGAAAGGGGTGGGGAGGGACAGGCAGGGTTGAGCAGGAGTGGAAAGGGATGGGACAAGAATGGGCAGGGGTGGGCAGGACGGGGGAGGGATGGAAAGCGATGGGCAGAAATGGGCAGGACTGGGAAGGAGTGGGAAGGGATGGAAAGGGACGGCGGGAGTGATGGGAAAGGATGGCAGTGGGTAGAAAGAGCCAGGCAGGGCCAGGCAGGGATGGGCAGGGCCGGGCGCTCACCTCGGTGGGCTCTGCGGCAGTGTTGGCACAGAAGAGGCTCTTGAGGGCGATGCCGGTGTGGTCGGCAGTGCTGGCTGCGGGCGGGAGGCGTCAGCCAGCGGGGGACTGCAGGCAGGGGCTGGGG